GACTTCACCTCCCAGAATTCCCCAGCCAGCATGCTGGCTGGGGAATTCTAGGAGTTGAAGTCCGCACATCTTAAAGTTGCTGACGTTGAGAAAATCGCTCTAGAGAGTTTGAGCCAGCCAGGATCTTCTCCCACAACCTCCCTTACAAGCTGATAAAAATAAAATGGAATGGTTGAGCAAGAAATAAAAGATCAAGGGAAGTGTCCTTTGGTTGAGTTTGGCTCCCGCGCAGCAATCTGACATCTCTCAACTCTACTTTTTCAAGATCAATCAAGACTGGAGAGGTGCTGACACCACTGTCTCCATAAATTCAGCCATCCATTGATATTTAAAATAATTCCATTAAAATCCTAGCATTCCATACTATATCCGAAATCATATTCACGCAACATGAAAACCTTGGGTTAACACAACCCAGATGCTGTTTCACATAACATGCTATATCCAGACAAAGAAAGCACATTATGGTTTAGCATCATGGCCTGCTCCATATGTTGTTGTTGTTGGTTGTTCAATCGTTAAGTTGTGTCCGAATCTTCGTGACCCCATGAACCATATTGCGCCAGGCCTTCCTGTCCTTCACTGCCTCCCACTAGTTTGACCTCCTAGCAGTCCAGGGGACTCTCAAGAGTCTTCTCCAGCACCACAGTTCAAAGGCATCAATTCTTCGGCGCTTAGCCTTCTTTATGGTCCAGCTCTCACAGCCATACATTACTACTGGATCCATATACTGCTCCATATACATTTACTGTAATTCAATGGCTGAGTTTCCATAACCTGCTGAATCGCAAACTACCCAACACCATTTTAGCCAACAGGTGTGAGTTGTACAAGCTCAGCCAATGATGATGCTCACACAACACACGTAACCAGGAGAGTGAAAGACTTAGTGGGTAGATTTGCATGACATGTCAAGCTCGGTTAGTATTATTTTATCTGGTTATACAGTTTAGGATATTCTCTGAGTTTGGACTTAGAGATTTAACTTGGTTCAATTGTGGTTCAACATACTGTGTGAACCCAGAAGATGAGCTAATCTAGTAACTCGGTTGTTGGGTGTTATATGAACCCATCCAATGGCAACTCATTGACTAGACTAACACATCCTGCTAAGCCATGCTAGCTGGGGAATTATGGGGTTGAGGTCCACTCATCTTAAACTTGGCAAGTTTGAAAAACACTGATCTAGTCCAATCCTCTACAATGCACAGAAAAACCAGGTAAACCATCCATGAGAGATTGCTCTCCAACCAACTGCTTCTTAAAACCCTCCAGAGATGGAGAACCCACAACCTTCATTGGTGGGACATTTCAGTGGAATGCCAGGCATAATTTTTACATCTGGGCTAAGTCCTATCTCTACTCATCCCGGTCTCTAGTTTACTTTGGGATGGGTTCAACCCCTGTTTCTTTGTTTTTCAGGCATCAAACAAGGTACTGACTGGGATAAATTCCAGGAATATGTGCATCCATTAACCAGATCAGTAAAAGTCCCAACCAATGCTTGGGCACAACATGCTAAGCTTGGTTAGGGGTAACCTTGATCATGTTTTTCACGGCGTAGGATGTCATGGGAGAACTCAGCTTGTTAGTTCCTTAAGATTCGGCATCTTGAGGGAACCTAGAAAATGGGTAACTCATTAACTTGGGGGCTGAGCACATTGCAAAGCCTAACCACTTTCTCCTAGGTGGAGATGGGAACTGATGGGAACTGATTACCTGTGTCCATGCTGTGTTTCTGCAGGACGCTTGTATAAATTAGTAGAAACATGAACGTATTTCTTTTTCCTGGACTGGCTCAGAAGATCCAGAGTTGGGGTGGAGGTGGGAGCCAGGTTCCCCAATCCAAGACTGCCATC